ACCTCTTACTTGATATTCAACCCTAAGCTTTTTAGGTGTTGAGTTTCATATCTAAGAACCACTTTTATTTGCCTTACAGGAAAGAGGATTTCTAATTATATTTCTGAAAGTTTAAAGAGATTAATTTATTTAATCTAAATCATAAATCCATGAGTACTATCATATATAAAAGATTTTCCAGAAGAGAATATAATTCACATCTTTTTATCCTTTTTCCAAAATTAAAGTTAAATAAATATATAATTTGATATGTTATTTCTCCTTTATAAGATTATATAGATAAATGTTCAAATCAAAAATGTAAACTGTCAGATATTTGGCAGAAGATAAAGTTATAGTAACTATATAATATTGATCACTCTTCATTTCTGTCAGAATGTGAAATAAAGAGAAGGCACAAGTCAACAGGACAAATTCAAATTGTAATAGCCTCAACAAAAGGCAAAACACACATACACACACAGGCATACACACACACAACCCTAACTAGCTGCTATCACTGATGTGAACTCTTAGAGGGTACCCTATTCTGGCTGACAGGGATAAAAAGAAAAAGAAAGAAATTTTTGAAGAGGTACCCTGGAGTCTATGGCAAACTGCTAGTCATTTAAAGGGAATGAAAATAGAATTCTAACAACAGGTAATAGGGAAGATGGCAGATAGGAGAAAAGACTAGCCGGCAGCTCCAACTCAGGCAGACAGAGAAGCATGTGGAGACTCACATCATGAGGTTTTGCTCCAAGAATTACCACAGGAAGATATCAGGAAAGCTGAGAGAATCTACAGAGCCTTTAAAGGAACTGGATTGATACTGGAACCTGAGACTAAAAAAAAATGAGAGTCTGCTTGCTTTCTCGGCAGAGGGGCTTCTGGTCTGGGGCAAGTTCTTAGCCCAGGTCACCAGCTGCCTAAAAATAGACTCAGTGCTGTTGAGGGGCACACTGGGAGTGAGACCAGCCTCTAGGACTGTGGGCTGAGTGGGAGCAGGGTGAGGCCTATGACTGCCAGCTTTCCCTAACTTCCCTGATGACCTGTATGATGAAGCAGAGGCAGCCATAATACCCCTGGGAACACAACTCCATTGGCCTGGGAACTACGCCTCCATTGGCCTGGGAACCACCCCTCCATCCCCCACAACAGTCATAGCAAGCCCTGCCCAAGGAGAGTCTGAACTCAGATATGCTTATCCCTGCCCTTACCTGTTGGTCTTTCTCTACCCTCCCTGGCTGCTGAAGATAAGGGACATAATCTCTTGGGAGTCCCATGGCCCTGCCCACCACCTGATAAACCTGAATATTTAACCAGGCAACTCTAGGGCAAGTTTGCATCCCCCTGTAGTACCATAGCTGATGCACTCTCAAAAGCACCACCTCATGGCAGGAGGCCAGCCAACACAAAACTAGCACACTAAACAAAAATACAACCAAGGGCCCTCACAGAGTCCACTTCTCCCCGCTGCTAGCTCCACCAGAGCAGGTGCTGGAATCCATAGCTGAAAGACCTGAAGATGGATCACAACACAGGAACAGACATTCCTCAGTGCCAGCTCAGAGCCCGGTAGCTTGGCTAGGTGGCTAAACCCAAAAGAACAAAAACAATCACTGCAGTTTTGCTCTTAGGAAGGCCCATCCCTAAGGGAAAAGGGAGAACACCACATCAAGGGAGTACCCTGTGGGACACAGAATCTGAACAATGGCCCTTGAGTCCCAGATCTTCCCTCTGACACAGTCTACCCAAATGAGAGGGGACCAGAAAAACAATTCTGGTAATATGAAAAAACAAAGTAAGGTTCTTTAACAACCCCAAAAGATCACACTAGCTTGCCAGTAATGGCTCCACACCAAGACAAAATCTGTGAATTGCCAGAAAAAGAATTCAGAAGGTTAATTTTTAAGCTAATCAAGGAGGCATCAAAGAAAGATGAAGTCCAACCTAAAGAAATCAAAAAGCTGATTCAGGATATGAAGGTGAAATAGACAGCATAAACAAAAAAACAATCACAACTTCTGGAAATCAAGGACACACTTAGAGAAATGCAAAATGCACTGGAAAGTCTCAGCAATAGAATCAAAAAAGCAGAAGAAAAAATTTCAGAGCCTGAAGCCAAGGCTTTGAAATTTGCCCAATCCATCAAAGACAAAGAAAAAGGAATTTTAAAAAAGTGAACAAAGTCTCCAAGAAGTTTAGGACTCTGTTAAGTGCCCAAATCTAAGAATAATTAGTGTTCCTGGAGAAGAAGAGTAATATAAAAGTCTGGAAAGCATATTTGATGAAGTAATTGAGGAAAATTTCCCCAGCTTTGCTAGAGATCTAGACATTCAAATACAAGAAGCTCAAAGAGCTTCTTGGAGAAGCTGGGAGACTCATCACAAAAGGATCACACCTAGGCACATAGTCATCATGTTATCTAAAGTCAAGATGAAGGAAAGAATCTTAAGAACTGTGAGGCAAAACTATCAGGTAACCTATGAAGCAAAACCTATCAGAGTAACAGCAAATTTCTCAGCAGAAACCCTATAAGCTAGAAGGAATTGGGTTCCTGTTTTTAGCCTCCTTAAAACAATTATCAGACAAGAATTTTGTATCCAGCAAAACTAAGCTTCAAAAATGAAGGAAAGATACAGTCTATTCCAGCCAAAAAAATATTGAAAGAATTCATCACTACCAAGCCAGCACTATGAAAACCACTAAAAGGAGCTCTAAGTTTTTTAATAAATCCTCAAAATACACCAAAATAGAAACTTCTTAAAGCATATATCACACAAGACCTATGAAACAAAAACACAATAAATAAATTTTAAAAGCTATTCAGGCAACAAATAGCAGAATGAATAGAATAGTACCTTACATCCCAATACTAACATTGAATGTAAAAGGCCTAAATGCTCCACTTAAAAGATATAGAATGGTAGAATGGATAAGAATTCACCAACCAAGTTTCTGCTGTCTTCAGGAGACTCATCTAACACATAGGACTCACATAAACTTAAGAAAGGGGGTGGAAAACAATATCTCATGCAAATAGACACCAAAAGTGAGCAGGAGTAGCTATTGTTGTAGCATATAAAAAAACTTCAAGGCAACAGCAGTTAAAAAACACAAAGAGGGACATTATATAATGATAAAAGGACTAGGCCAACAGGAAAATATTAATATCACAATCCTGAATGTATATGCACCTAACACTGGAGCTCCCAAACTTATAAAACAATTACTACTAAACCTAAGAAATGAGATAGATGGCACCACAATAATAGTGAGGGACATTAATACTTCATTGACAGCACTAGACAAGTCAAGAGAGAAAGTCAACAAAGAAATAGTGAATTTAAGCTATACCCCACAGCAAATGAACTTAACAGATATTTACAGAACATTCTACCCAACAACTGCAGAACATACATTCCATTCATCAGCATGTGGAACATTCTCCAGGATAGACCATATGATAGGCCACAAAACAAGTCTCAGTAAATTTAAGAAAACTGAAATTATATCATGTACTCTCTCAGACCACAGTAGAAAAATATTGCAAATCATCTCCCAAAGGATCCCTCAAAAACCATGCAAATACATGAAAATTAAATAACCTGCTCCTGAATATTGTTGGGTTAACAATGAAATCAAGATGGAAATGAAAAGTTACTTGAACTGAATGATAATAGTGACACGACCTATAAAACCTCTGGGATACAGCAAAAATGGTGCTAGGAGTAAAGTTCATAGCATTAAATGGCTACATCAAAAAGTCTGAAAAAGCACAAATAGACAAGCTAAGGTGACACCTTACAGAACTGGAGAAACAAGAAAAATCCAAACCCAAACTCAGCAGAAGAAAATAAATAACAAAGATCAGAGCAGAACTAAATGAAATTGAAACAAACAAAAAAATACAAAAGATAAATGGAACAAAAGGCTGGTTCCTTGAAAAGATAAATAAAATTGATAGCCCACTAGCAAGATAAACCAAGAAAAGAAGAGAGAAGATCCAATAAGCTCAAATGGAAACAAAATAGGAGACATTACTTATACCACAGAAATACAGAAGATTATTCAAGGTCACTATGAACACCTTTATGCACATAAATTAGAAAACCCAGGCAAGGTGGATAAATTCCTGGAAATAGACAATCCTCCTAGATTAAGCCATTAAGATAGAGAAACTATCAATAGACCAATAACAAGCAGCAAGATTGAAATGGTAATTTCTCATAAAAAAAAAGTTCAGGACCAGACAGATTCACAGCTAAATTCTATCAGATATTCAAAAAAGAATTGCTACCAATACTATTGACACTATTCCACAGTATAGAGAAAGAGGGAAACTTGCCTAAATCATTCTATGAAGCCAGTATCACCTTAATACCAAAACCAGGGAAGGACGTAACAAAAAAAGAAAACTATAGATCAATATCCCTAATAAACATAAATGTAAAAATCTTCAACAAAATACTAGCTAACTAGCTAAATCCAACAGTATATCAAAACAATAATCCACCATGATCAAGTGGGTTTCATGCCAGGGATACAGGAATGATTTAACACATACAAGTCAATAAATGTGATAAATCACATAAACAGAATTAAAGACAAAAATCGCATGATTACCTCAATAGATGCAGAAAAAGCATTTGACAAAATCCAGCTTCGCTTTATGATGAAAACCGTCAGCAAAATTGGCATAGAAAGGACGTAGCTTAAGGTACTAAAAACCAGCTGTGACAGACCCACAGCCAACATTATACTGAACAGGGAAAAGTTGAAAGCATTCCCCCTGAGAACTGGAACAAGACAAGGATACCCACTTTCACCACTTCTATTCAGTATAGTACTGGAAGTCCTGCCGAGAGTAATCAGATGAGAGAAAGAAATCAAGGGCGTCCAAAAGAGGAAGTAAAGAGGAAGTCAAACTGTCACTGTTTGCTGATGATATAATCGTATATCTAGAAAACCACAAAGACTCCTCCAAATAGCTCCTAGAACTGATAAAAGAATTCCGCAAAGTTTCAGGATGCAAAATTAATGTGCACAAATCAGTAGCTCTGCTATATACCAACAGCAATTAAGCTGAGGATCAAATCAAGAACTCAATTGCTTTTACAATCGCTGCAAAAAATAAAACAAAATACTTAGGAATATACCTAACTAAGGAGGTGAAAGAGCTCTACAAAGAAAACTATGAAACACTGCAGAAAGAATCATAGACGACATAAACAAATGGAAACATACCTCATGTTCATAGATGGGTAGAATCAAATTGTGAACATGACCATACTGCCAAAAGTTGAATGCAATTCCCATCAAAATACTACCATCATTATTCACAGAACCAGAAAAAAAAAGCCCTAAACTTCATATGAAACCAAAAAAGAACCTGCATAGCCAAAGCAAAACTAAGCATAAATAACAAATCTGGAGGCATCAAATTACACAACTTCAAACTATACTATAAGGCCATAGTCACCAAAATAGCATGGTACTGGTATGAAAACAGGCACGTAGACCAATGGAACAGAATAGAGGATCCTGAAATAAACCCAAATATAGCCAACTGATCTTTCACAAAGCAAACGAAAACATCCTTCTAGACACTGGCTTAGGCAAAGACTTCATAATCACACACCTAAAAGCAAATGCAACAAAAAACAAGATAAATAGATGGGACTTAATTAAACTAAAAAGCTTCTGCACAGCTAAAGAAATAATCAGAACTAACAGACAACCCACAGAGTAGGGGAAAATCATTGCAATCTGTACATCCAGAAAAGGACTAAAATCCAGAATCTACAGATAATTCAAACAAATCAGCAAGATAAA